GAGATAAGCAAAGATAGTAAACAATCAAATTAATTTAGACCTATAAATTAGAATCGTGTATTTAGTGATTTAAATAACATTAATGACACAAGGTAATAGTAAAACTAAATTATAAAATGTCCTTACAATGAAAAGAAATTAGCAATTTATTGTGATCGCGGGTTGCTGTTCATTTGTATAGAGACTTTCACTTGTTATTTATTACGGTACGAGGGCCGTTTTAATCGCATAGTAAAATTTTCGGATCTCTTTTCAACAAGCTTATGCCAAATAAGTTAGTTGTAGAACACAATTAGAATGCTTACACTATGTGGTTACCGACGCTTACTAAACCAATGCAACAGCATTACCCTCGTTTTAAGTTGCACAAATAAATTAAGCTTATGATGAATTTATGGCATCTTGTAAGCAGAAGAGTAATTTTCTTCTCTTATGTAACGTGGACCTGATTCTTAAAGGCATTCCAGTCTTCCAGTCTGTGACCCAAGGGCACTTGTGGCAATGTGGCCGAGTAGTTAACGTGTCGAGCTCACATTCTGCAGTGTCACAGTTCGACTCCCGCTGGGAGTGTTGATAAAACCGATGCGAGGTCGAAACTGCAGTCCACTCCTGCCTGGGTGAGGACAGCTTTTGTGGAAAGCAAAGCTATCTGAAATTCAATGGAAACGTCAGCTCAACTCATACCATTGTGGGAAAATATTACTACCAGCCCTTCATCACTTCAAACGAAATATGGTGAATACATTTCATAGTACTGATTTACTGGTAATCTCGAAACTCTATTTAAATACAAAAGATATTTGGTAAGTACGGGAAGTTCATGGTCGAGTTGTATAAATTTTGCCTTGTATTTTATCGGATGGATGGCGACTAGGCCCATCATGAGTTAAGGGTAAGCCTTAATTTTAAACTCGAAATACAACCCCAAATCTGAAACAATGATTTAATTTCGCATCATCTACCAGTAAACACTTCCAGCGGGATTTGATCCCCTGGTGCGTGATTTAAGAAGCAAGTACTCTACTCCCTTGCCACATCAGGTCATACCATAGGACCTTATAGTCACAGAAGGATTTTCCTAACCTACTATAGTGTGTGGGGAAATTTTCATAAATAGGCATTCGTGTGTTTAATATCTGACATACTATCCTAGAGCCTACTATAAATGTAAATTGTGAAAGGACTGCCCAGCCCTGAAGGTCACATCTGTGCTGTTATCCAGTGACAGTCGCAGAGGCGTAGACAATTGCCAACGTGTGTTTACTTGATGGGTTAGAATGTTGTTGAGGGTGCTTATGAGACGTTGAAGTTAGGTAAAAGAAGTAGTCCACTTAAGAAGAGAAAACCTTTTAGGAGGCAAGGTTTATTGAAATTCTCTAGCACCATGATGCTTGCTCAGTTTATCCCTTTAATTGTCCCAAGTAATCTGTCCTAGCCTTAAGATCGAAGGCTAGATTTTTCATCCAATGTACGCTGGTTTCTACCACCGCCGGTATGAGGTGACTCAGAGGGTGTACAGACGATCAGAATTCATGCATATTTTTTACTCGGCTTGACCTGGAAGTGGAGTTATTAGTTTGCTCATCGTTCCCACCGAGTGTCAATTTGAAGCCATGGAAATCAGCGCCCGAGTGAAAGAGACGAACATGAGCTCTTGGGCCGAGAGAATGGAAGCTTCGTTCGTCTTCTTGATCCGATCGTGCTCAGTCCTCAAAAAGAGGACTACTTAGGAATCGAGGGGATGCAATTCGCAATTTTTGTCCACGATGACGCATTTATGCTCATTACGTTCGGATTGGCGGTAGCTGCAGCTGCACTCGCCTGCACGGCCATGATCCATCGCAATTTGCAAGGAAATTGCAGCTCTGTTGTTAAGCTTTAATCACATGTATGTATTATTTGCTCTAAGAGATCTTCGTGTGGTTCTAACAAACCTTTCTAAAATTCACTTATCGGACTTTGCCCCTTCAGAAAACTTCCAAGACAAGAGCCCAGCTCACGAATCCAGTCCAAGTAGAAGTCAAAAAGTTAGCTACTTCAGGTAAAACAAATGCAAGAGTTGGGCTACAAGCCTCAAAATTATCTTCTTAGTACTGACAATAAAGTATGCCTATTCAGCAGTAATAACTATTCGAAGGTATGAGGACCAAGATGGTGTGGACTTGTATGTGGTCGCAGTCTCCTTTCATTGCATAGCAGTTGTTTGACCTTGTTATGGGGACCTTCATTTCGAATGAAAGTACATGAACAAGATATTCGTTTGTCGATCTCACCAGATGAGGACGGATGAAAATCTTTGTACTGCAGCCGTTGAGCTTTTATATTATATTCATGTTGACGCAGTCCACGAGTATTCCTCCCTCGTTTCGGGTGAAAACGTGCT